GGTGGCTAAACAATTAAAAGTATTCAGAACAAATTGGAGTAAATAATTCAATTCCATTGAAAATAAACGAGAAAGAGATTAAAAATTTAAACTATATGTGAGTTTAATTGTAATCCTGAAAAAAGAAATTAGTTACTCATAATTGCAAAAATAAATAAAAACATATGAAGTTTAGCCATCAAGATTAACAAGAATAATAAAACCTTAGAAAGAAGAAAAACAAATATTGGCAGTCTTAGTGACTATTTGTCTTAATTTTTTTTCAGCTTATTTACCTCTTAAAAGCAAAAACTATACCAAACATGATTTTTGAGAAATTTTAAAAAAATAACTTTTTTTAAAGAATAAAATCTTTTAAAAAACTGCTTAAAGAAAAGCTCCAGGGAGGAGCTTTCTCTTCTCTTTTTTAAAAAATATATAATTTTTTTAAAAAATACCACTCTCTTAATCAATCTCTATCTCCTTTCCTTCCCTCTGCAAATCACCATTCTCCAACGCAAATCACGATTTCCCTCTCCTCCACCTCTCTTTACAAAAATTACCAAGAAAAAGAAAATAAAAGACCTAACAACAGAATAGCAAAATCTAAAATCTTTTTGTTATTACAAAGATTAAGAGAAAAGAAAATCTAAAATTCAAAACTGTATTTTGCTATTAATGTCAGATACATCGTCTTCTCTTTTCTCTCTTCTTCACCAAAAAGGATATTAATGTCAGATACATCGTCTCCTCTTTTCTCTTTTTTGTTTCGAATTAAAGCATCATGGTCCGATCACTTGTTAGATCAACAAAATCTAATATTATTGCTACTATACAACTTTGAGATTTATTCCATTTCTTTATTAATTTCTTTGATTTTAACACCTAAAATTGTATATAAACTTTTAGCGTTATATTATAGTTTATTAGGTAATTAAGATGACATAAATACCCTTTATGGTAATTTTAACCAAAATTAAAGCTTATATTATTTATTTTGTTAAGCAATTTACCAAACAATTTTAGCTTAATTTTAAAAGTTATTATTTTTCATAATAGCTTTTAAGCTAACAAAAAGTTAGGCCAAATAGATTTTTAATCTTTAATCTTCAGCCTCAACTTCTAATTTCTTGAATCACTTAGGGTTGTCTTCCTGCTGCTAACTTCTTCTTGAACTTTCTTTAAATACCACTAAATTAACCTATTTTCCCTAATTAGGCCTAATTGGCTCTTAATATGGCTTTAGAATAAGTGTCGAAACCTAATAAAAACTTAATCAGCTTGCTGCCTGTTTTTTTCTACATTATTTCTTCATATCTTTCATATCAACGCCACATGTCACGGTCTTTACATGGACATGAATCTCACATTGTCGAGATAATGCTCCCAACAGGTTAAGAGCCGGAATGTCTCACATTGAAAAGAACTTCCAACGGAGAGTAAGAGAGCATGTCATGGTCCTAGAGAAGAGAGCCATGAATCTTACATTAGCTATGTACTAGCGTGATATTAAGAATATAAGGGTTCACATCATCTTTAACTTGTGAGGAGCCTTTTGTGGGATAAAATCGTGAGGCCAGCAAGCCAAAATGGATAATACCTCATAGGGATTGGTGTGGATCATGACATCGCGGCACATCCCCTCGACGTTGTGACGTTGGCCTAGCTTCAGGTTTTCTCTTGTTGACTACTACACTCCAATAACTTCCAATGTGATTTTCTCAATCTTCAACATAAAACTAGGTAAAGTGATCCCATAAAAGTTATAAGTTTGTCTCTTATCTTTCTGATGGCTCAAGAATCACTTCATTTGGACGACGGGAGTGAGAGTTATGATCAAAATACTTTTGCACGTACGAATAGGGCTTTAGTTCTTTAAACTCCTTTTTTTCACCAAATTGAGCTTTATTCTTTACAATCCTACCAAAAAATAAAAACTAATAATTACTAATTAAACTAAAGCAAGTAAACATAAAAATACCACAAAATAAAACAACTCATTAAAAATAAACTAATTAGAAAAACTACTAAAAAATAACCAAATCTTAATCTAAAGTCAAGAACGTAGTTAGCGTTTAATGGCAAAATGAGACAAAATAATTCTATAAAATAAAATTATCAGTATCTCAAGTGGTCACATTAATCCTATAATAACTTTTGGGTTGTTTTTGGCTCGTAAGGTGTTTCTAATCAAAGTTGTCACTTACATGGAAGCTCAGTGCTTGGCTGATACATATGGAGTTAGGCTGGTTAAAGCTTTCATGAAGCATGAGTACAACTCCCCTGGTGGTGGTGCTAACGTTGTGGCTTATGGCTACAACAAGGGAACTGCTTTAGGAGTTGAGATTATTGGCACTTTTGTGTTTGTCTACACTGTTTTCTTTGCCACTAACCTAAGAGGAATGCTTGTGGCTTCCACATCCTTGTGTTGGCTCCCCTTCTTATTGGGTTTGTTGTTTTCATGGCTACCATTCCCATCACTAGTAGTGGCATCAACTTTGATAGGAGTAATGGTGCTGCTATCATCTACAACAACGAGAAAGCTTAAAATAACCATTGGATTTTTTGGGTTGGTCTTTTCATGGGAAATCTTGTAACAACTGCATAACATTAATTAGCTGCAATTATCCAGCCTTTGGGATCATTACTCAATGTCACACTTTTCGCATGGAACCATGTAAATTTCACATCGTTGAGATATGTTCCCAGCAAGTAGAGCCATAAGTCCAACATTGAAGAAAAGCTCCTAACGAGGAGTCAAAAAAGGATGTCATGGTCCTAGAGGGGAGCCATGAATCCCACATTAACTATATACTAGAGTGATATTAGGCATTAAAGATTCACACCACCTTCAACTTGTGAGGTGCCTTTTGTGGGATAAAACTGTGAGACTAGCGGGTCAAAATAAATAATACCGGTTGGTGTGGATCGTGACACTCGGTATCGAAAACTAAAATAGCTTTGTTTCCACTTATGATGATGACCCTTCTTTCTTTTCTTTCAAAATAATTCTTAGCCATGTTTCACTTCCTGCGAAGAAATCTTTAGAGCTTGAACAAGGTGGAATGCACCCCGCACAATAATGCAACATATGAGCGACATTTGAGGACGCCAATAAAAAGTTACCTTATGAGCCCTCCTCTAAAATATTTAATTTTTAATCCATGACCCTATTTGGATTGTGTAGGTGGAATCCTAATACTCTACCCACGTTTCCTATCTTATTTTGTATCCTAATTCTCACAAAGTATCATGTGTCTATTTTTTATCATTAATTAATATATATTTAGTTTTAATTTTTTTTTTCTTTTTCATATTTCCTCTTTCTGTTTTGCACAAGTGAAGACTGGTAATAACGCTAACAGCTCGGAACGATCTAACTACAATGATGGAAATGGTCAAGCAACAGGAGATGAATACAATTATCTAGAAAGTGAAAACTATGCTAGCGATTGCAATGGCAAAGCCGATGTGTGATAGAGGGAAGTGATTATAATATAGATGGTGATGAAGATGATGATGGCGAAGACATGACAGTGCAAAAAAAGAGAGGGAATTTTATTGTTTAAGGGTACATAAATGAGAATTCAGATGAGGAGGAAATCAGGGATAGAGATGATCTAGAGGACTCAGACCCATATGTAAAGCCATAGGGGTATTCAACAGAAGCATCTTTAGATTTCAGTGCATGAAGACTTGCTGCAAATGCTAAGAAACTTGTTCCCAAACCCACAAGGCACAAGATGACTTATTCTACCAGGCAACCCTACCTCCTAATTGCCCTACACTTAAATCATTGAACTAATATTGCTGGGTGCGCCAAGCCCAAGTTTTAGTGCAATGCAAGAGTGACGCTCAAGAACTCTAATAGCAAGCTATTGTGATGAGCTCTCCCCTAAAAAAATTAATTTAATATCATGTGGATCAATAATCCACGTATCAGATATTAAACTGATAAGAACAGATACTACACTTGATCTTAGCCAAAAGGCCGAGAAAGGTATGAGTTGCAATGTAGCTCGATTTCTCTTTTATAAAGCATTTTCCCATCTCACTTGTTTGTGCTCTAAATATGGGACATAAACTTGTCAAATAACTAACTTTTAATAAAAAATATAAAAAATCAGTTCTTCCAAATGCTCCTGTATAAGCACTAACACTCAACTTCTTTAAACTATGCTAAGCAATAAAATTTTCACAATAAATTATTATCACATGAAAATCTATCCAAACAATTATATACACAACTAGCTATGTGCTACATAGATCCATTTAAGTTATCAAATATTATCCCAACAGAATCTAATAAAATTCATTAAAATGATTAATACAAGTACTTTATTCTCAAAATATTAAACATATACTTTTAATCTTTCAGAAAGTATTAAAATCCATTTCAAGGTAAACATTAAATTAGCTATCTGTCCAGCCTACTCTCCGTGATTTGTTTCCTAGTTTGGCTGCAAATTTTGGAAATCAAACAACGGTGAGATTATAAGGCAATCATCCCAGGACAAGGCGTGTACATTAGACTCATCTACTACCAAAGAAACAAGAATCGCTTAACTTCTTAGAACTATGATTGAATAGGGGCCGCGCGCACGCAGGCCCCCACTACCACAAATTATGACGTAGGCTCTCCCACTTGGGGAGACCTTAGAGCAGCACCCCTCCCCAGTGCAATGGAGGTCACTGCCCTAGGCCATGGGTCTCCTTGATCACCCATCGACCCCGTCCAGGTAAGTATGTTGGAATGGTGCAGAATGCCATCCATTTATATCTCCAGCGGTTTGCTATACCATCATCGTAGAGCCATGTGGGACTTTACAAAACAACAGTGAGATTTTGAGATTGGAGGGTGCTGATCCCTCTTGTGCAAATACTTTGGTGGGCTGCAGTCTGCAGATGTAGTGATATAGTACAGCCCCTTCTCCTTCATCAGAAAACTGACGCAGATAAAATCTCAAGCTGTGCATCAAAAGATGAAACTAACAAAGTAGGACGAGGAAAAGAAACAAAAGGCAAATGCAAATTGAATGAGCAGCAAAATCACTAAACCTGTACCTCTCACGTTGGTTCAACGCAATTGTTTGCTAGGGAACTTGAAGTTTCTCAATTTTTGCCACCAAAAGGATATTGATTGTGCCTACTGAGAAAGTTTTCTAACCACTAATCCTAAAACTTTTATTCGTAATAATAGAATTTCTTGACTATTTAATTTATTTTTCTTTATTTGTTTTTCGTTATCCAATTAAATCATTTACAAATTAGAATCTTGTCTTCTCAACGACACCGTTTGCAAGCATTGCTAACAGAATAACTGTCTAACACATTTGAAAGGCGCAAAGAGAGTTATATCAAAAACAGATAGAGAGAGGCAGAGAGAAAGATGGCGACGAGCAACGAGAGGGATGAAAGGAGAGCGAGATTCTCAGCGAAAGGGTTGAATCGCATGTCTCACATCTCCTCGGGAAGGACCCAAAGCATCTCCTCTTCTTCCTTACCACCTCTTGATCATGATCATCTGCCTCCAACATCACACCTCCTTGATCAAACCAATGGTAATCTCTTAGTTTTTCTTCCTTTTATGGCTTTAAAAACGTCTTCGTATGATAGTTTTCATTGTATATATGTCAATATTTTATTTATCTGTGAAAATTTGGAGAATGGGTTTCTTATGCTTAGTTTTAAATTGGAAAGAAGCGGAGGGAAAAGAAAATTGCCTGATGGGTTTGCATTATAGGTTCATAAGCTGAAATCTGTTAGACAATGCTTAATGAGAAACACGTCAAGGAACATAAGAGCCTTTGTATCCATTAAAAAGACGTGTCTTTCTTTTGGTAGGGCATGGTCCGTTTCATGTGAAATCTTCTGTTTTTCAGTGTTCTATGCTAGCTGACAGACTGAAGGCTTTCAAAGTTGTAAGAGTGCTTCATGTTCAGCAACCTTAGTCACTGAATCTTCAAGATGATGAAATGAAAATAATAAGCAATCCTGCTTATAGGTTTAATGATGTTTCAATTTGAGCAGCTTTTTGAAGGAAATTAAAAAAGTAATTGACTTAACTGTGAGAGATCAGAATAACCCTGTTTGTAAAGCGTAATGATTTTGCCAATATTAATGACTTTTCTGACAGATGCAAAGAAACAAAGCTCTGATGCACAGGGAGAGGGAGCCAGGGATGAACGAAGGAAAATTGAAGAACAAGGGTTGAATCTCACATCTCACATGAGAGGCCAAAGCCAAAGCAATCCTCAAACTCTTGATCATAGTGCATTGTTCTCCAACTATCATCAGGCACCACAAATATATTTATCTGATCAAATTAGTGGTAAGAAATTTAGTTGGTTCTTGTTCATCTCCATTGAATAATGCAAAAGATGTTCAATTGTTTCCATATAACTGTTTAAACTCTAAAGTATGCAATATAAATTTCTTCATGAAATTTGTACCTTCTGTTTTCTCTTGTATGTTCTTCAATATTGCAACATTAATGTTTGATCAAAAAGATCGCCTATAATGATGCATATGGTTGAGTGCATTCCCAGTTTTGTATTATGACGCTTTGATATTGACTAGAAAACTATGTTAGCTGATGGCTTGTTTAATGAGCAGAGAAGTACCTTAACAGCAGTTTAATTCAGCAATTATCAGAATTACTGTTAAAATTCATTACTGATAGATTTTGCCCAATTTTGGTTTGTGATTTTTTATTTTTAAAATGCATTACTAATTTTGGTTTGTGATTGATGTGTGTTTATTCTCCCTTTTGATAGTTTATTGTTGTTTGGGGCTGGAAGGAGAACCTAGACCTTCTCTTTAGAGAAGCATCCTCAAGAAATCAAGTTGATTAGTCTTCAAGGAACTTGATAGGGTCATACACCATAAATTGATCAACTTTTTTTTTTCAATAGAATATTTGCTTCTGGATTGACAGCATATTAAAAAAGACAACTTTAAATCTGGACATTTCCTGGTTCCAAAGATATGTGGAATTCTATCCTCCATTCCTTCTAGATCACTAAAACCTTTCAGCATGTAACAAAGTACCAAATGTACTCAGTCCTGAAAGAGAAATTGTGAATTTTAAGAACTGCTCTCTTCCTGTGATCAATTATAAACCTCCACAAGTAGGAAATGTTCACCACAATATGATAACCTTCTTTCAGTCCTACCTCATTTACCAGCCCTTAGGTAATGATAAATAACCTTTTTTATGGAAAAGTTGATTTTACTAGTGGTCATTGGGTCATATAATCTTATGATTTTATATCAATACTATCTTTCCCTCCAATTCATAATCAAGACTTTCAAGTTTAATCCTGGAAACCTACTTTTGATGTCTCTGTGAATCAGTTCACAAATCAGGGAGTGCAACAATCTAAAAGAGCATTAAAGATCAGGTTCAGATCATTTCTGGAAAATTGCTTTTAGAATGGTATGAGAGCTGTGCCTGTAATCAAAAGAGTGTTGCTGAACCTGGATTTATTTTGTGTTAGTGCTTTTTATTGCCATTGTCAACTATATGTTGAAAAACTGTTTGAAATTAGATAATTGGAATGCTTTGGCAGAGTTTAGATAAATGCTGATCTAGTATCTCTAAGGTTATTGCTCTCAAGAAAAAGAAAAACACCTACATGCAACAGAGTATCTATTTCAAATTCTACAACTTAATTTAAATGAACTCAGAATCATCAGCCATATATTAGTCTGTGCTTCTGTTTTGGCTAGTTCATGGCACAACATTGCTGGCAACCTTTCCAGAGCGAATCTCCTAGACTATGGAATGATGACAAAGAAAGTCTTACTTATAACTTTGGAAATATCTTCCCATGCCATGGGTGCACTAGAAAGTGACAATTCAGATCTTAATTATCAATGGCAGAATAGTAAACTGCCATTATTTACGCTATATGGAAGATGCATAACATCAAACCTTCATTATTTTATTTGGTTTTGTAGCTGGACCTGTGATTGTGGGGGACGCCTCTAGTTCTAGTTATCTTAATCATAGAGGTAGCTATGAAATTTCAGGGGCAAACTCTCTTGATGTCGGAGGCCAAGCTGAACTAAAATTGCAGAAACAGGGAAGTGATAAAGATGCAATTTCTGCTCTTGTTGTGGGAGAAAGGGGTGAATTACAGCCATTGCAAGAGGCATCATCACTCCAAAAGGCATCAAGCAATGTGGGGCCACTACAAAAACCATGCTGGAACCAACCTAATTTTTTCTCTTCCAACCGACTTAATTCCTGCATTATAGCTTCCGAAAGAACACGCAGTTTTTGTGCACTGCTCATAGCAATTTTTGTACTTCTGTCTTATATTGATTATCCCCTGCTTGGAATGAATATAGTCAGGTCGGAGAGCATTGTAGCCTCAAGGCCTCTTTACATAATCCTACTGACTGATTTGACAGTTGTGCTTGGACGAATGTTTCTTGACAAGAAAGAAGACTCTGAGGAGGCCGAAAATAAAAAAGCAGGATCTCAAAATAATAGACAGAGCTGGGCAGGTGCTGTTAAGCTTTTGGAGAGAGGTTTAGTGGCCTATCAGACAATCCGAGCACTTTTCATAGACTGCAGCATTTATGCAGTGGTGGTCATTTGTGGCCTTTCTTTGATGTAGTTTTTCTTCTAGATGATATCATTTGTCTCCTCCAGTCTCAGCAAATTTTGCCAAGAAATAATTTCTTTTTTCAATTCAATGTTTATTAACTTTTACGGTATTCACTGAAGGTCATTTATATTCTTTGGCTGCTGCCATCTTCTCTTTGCAATCCTAGTATGATTTAGCATAGAATCAAAAGGCTACTTTTCCAAATCATAAATAGTAATTTTTAGTTAAGCTGACCCTTTCAGCTTAAGTTCTTTTATATATTTCTAATTGTTTAGATACATTAATTACAATTTGAATGCTACTATTGATTTTGAACCAGCTATTTATCATCCTTGTGTTGTGAGTGACAAGTTGTAATCTAGCATATCTGTCATCTAGCTTACATGGTAAAATTGATTTTTTTTTTCTTTTAAAGATGGGTTGGGATTGTCGGTTCCAAGTGTTTCAGAGAGAAGTGCTTCTGTGGTTTACTGCCTAAATGTATATGATATCCTCTTTCTCCTACATTCAGCTTTTCCCTAACATCACAATTTACGTTACAGAGTGCTTGGAAATGAGTGCCACTATTATATGCACATGCCTTTTGTTGAAAATATGCCCTTGTGTCCAGAATGTCCATGTGGGAAGGTCCTTTTGCTGCATAAGATTCATTAACTGTTGCAGGTGGAATTGGTGAATGACTTATCTAGGTAGGTTACAAGCTTTCAATCTTGAAGCTACTCCAGCTTGTAATTAAGGATCAAGCCATTGCTCTGGTACTTGACATTCTCATTAAATGAAAAGGGGGACCAAGGCAGCGATTTTTTCTGGACCACTTATATGTACCAGCAATGAGGCATGATGGCCAAAACAATCATGGACAGTTCATTTAGTCTTTTACATAACAACCATCTGCACAGTAGGAAGGAATCTGTTTTCAAGGCTTTGCAATCAAACCGTAGTAGGTCTTCCCCTTGATATCACGTTGGTTTTGTTGGTAAACTTCTATACTCTGTCATAGTGATGCAACTAATTTGTAAGATCTCTATGAAGCCATATCCTTTAGGCTGCAGCCAACACTTCGTTGTGGATTAAACTATAGAAAGACTAACTACATATGCTATGCAACCTAATTCTCATGCCGACAAAAGCTCAAATATTCTGGATAGTTTGTGTGAATTTTGTAGAACTTTCTCTCGAGGACCATGGAGATACAACTAAAGATGCAGTTGAGGGTGTTGGCCCTTGAGGCTTTCAAGACATTTTATTTTTTTCCCTTTCGGTCAAGAGGCTGTGATGATTCATGATTTCAGCCTCGGCACAATTATACAACTTGAAAAGGCAGCTCACGTATTGTGGTTGATGATTTAAGTACCTAGAATCATATATTCCCTCTGCGGATGTTTAGGTTCCAGCAAGAAGTCTGTCGTAAAAGTTCTAGGGGAGATGAGCAGGCAACTTGCTTTTGCATCAGTTAACATTTAGCCCTCCTTGTTAATGCCTAGGTTTCACATGGCTTGGAAAAATACAAAATCTCTGGTAAGCACCATAATAGCAACGGAGAATATCTGCTCTGAACTCTAAACTTTAACCCGTACTGGGGCTTTTGCATTGGCAAGAAAAATTGTATTGTGGTAAAAAGGAGAATCCAAGCCAAAGGATATAATCCTTGTTAACAAAATTGAAATTGTAAAAGAGGCATATTGTCATTTCACTTGTTATCCTTTTTCATTTTCCTCCGATCTTATGGTTAATGTTAGTTGAATGGACCTAAACTCTTAGGGATAATAAATAGTACCAAACACCCATAAAGAAGATTCGTTCTTAGTAGTTGGTTTTGTGTATTGGTAAACTCTTAGCAATCAATTTATGCGGATACCTTTTCACTGTTTATCTACTTCACTAGTGTCTTTACAAACAATTGAGGAAATCAACATAAAGAAGGGGCCTCAGCTTTTTGACAGAAGAAGGGGGAGCCAACCCGTGCACCAAAATGACACTCAGATTCTCACTGGGCCTTATTTCTGCATTTCTAACACTTTAAGATGTGATCTAAACCATTGCACAGGACATTCTGGTGAGACAGCTGGGTCCTTATATGTAAGAAGGTATGGTTGCACCATGATTTGTTATATACTATTAACCATGCATACAAGAAGAATCCCAAAAAGATAAGGTGTTTTTTTCTTTGAATAAAAAAAAAAGGAAAACATGAAAAATATTTTAGGTGTATGAAAAGGACTTGCTATTAGATAGTTTTTCCACTGTGAGAATTTAAATTTTAGGTAAGACTTGAAACCAGGATCAAAACTACTTTTGCCAAAACTCATTTTCGAAATCATTAATGTTTTAACTAGAGGCACACAGGAAGAGAGCAGGAAAGATGCCTCTGATACTAACCCTGAAAGGGAATTCCTTCATTTCACATATACAAACAGGTTTGGAACTGCAGTAGTGGTATAATTAATCCTGTGTAGCAGGCATACGACAATGAGTTCATTCTACCAATAATTAAATCAGCTGATCATGTCCTTCTGGCTGAGTCCCAAGTTCTGCGCCTCTAATCAACATGATTAAAATAGTTTGCTTAGTAGCATATAAAAGCACAGCAGAAAGCCAGCAGTGTTCATTATTTAAAGGTTAAAATCAAGGGCTAACAATTAATATAATGCATTGTGATCAATTAATTTGCCTGCCCTATTCCCCAGAAAAAATAATATTACTATTTGGCAATGTGCTTCTTCTTAGAAAGATGAGAAGAAAGCTTGTTAGTTGATTAACAGACTTCAGTTTCAACTACCCTAACCTATTTTATGTCCTAAAGCATTCCTGCAAACTGCAGAGAAATAGTAAGATAATCCCCAGTTGAAGATTAAAAATCATTTTCATCATCACTCAGCGTTGTTTACAATTTCGCCAGTCTCACTTAAATATAAAGAAAACCAAAAGATGATGCTCTGGGATCCCATTTGCTAGAATGGGTTGCTTCAACGTGCTCAACACTAAAAGGTTCAGATAAGAAAGGTGTCACTTCTGAAGCATCTTCGGTTTCTTATGAAGTAATGATCAAGGAAAAAAGTGGAGAAAAGAAGAATAAATACCATCAATACGAGAAGAGAATAAGATGTTTCCATTAACTAACATGACCAAATATTAAAGCTTGGCGAATCTAAAGTTGATTGATTCATCCTATCAAAGTCAAGATCAGACACACCATTGTTTTTCTTAGCTTAACTTGCATCCACTCTTCTCAAAACCCTTGAGGGAACAGCAAACCGAGCTGAAAAAGACCTGGAGAGGTCATCAGGATCAGCTGACATCAAGCCCTGATCAAAATTCTGCGCATATGTGCAAGGATCATAAGAAACATGCACCCGAGTACTCGATGAACAATCAAAGATCTTCTTCTTTTCTCTCATCAGCTTTCTCCATAGCATTCTCCACCTTGGCAGCTTTGATCTGGTCACCAACACTTTGATTGAAAGCATCCGGTCGTACCGGCTTTTTGCATAGCCTTGGCTCCATCTCAAATCTTGGGTGCCTGAGCTGCACCACTTGCTGAGTTCCATAGTGAAAGAAAAGCTATAGAATAGGTGATTTTAGATCTTGTTCTGGCAGGAGTGTAATGCCTCTGGGTCCATGTACTAGGATACTTATACAGAAGTACCATGTTCAAAGTCAAATCGTATGATGCCCCTAATAATGAATTGATTTTTCAAAATACCAAATTTCAATGTTAATTTAACTCCCATATTTAATTTTTTTTTGTATGAGGGTATGTCAATAAATTGATCCTAAAATTATGTTACATGTGATGGTAAATTTTTTAAATGTTCCTTTGGGTCTACTATTATAATTTATAACACAACTATCTGCATATGTGGTTGAAGCATTGACCTGCAAAGTGAGGATTAGTTTGGTTGATTTGAACTGTCAAGATTGATTAGAAATGAATTTTAATTCTTTTACTTCTCTTCAAATCATTATTCAAACTTATTATGTATTCATAATTAATGAAAATGCTAATCATCCTAGAAAAATGTACTATCTTACTAAAGAAATAATTAATTATGGGAGGCATGGGCTTCAAACTGCCGCAGCTTTTAAGTTTAGGATTCAAGACCCAAACAAGGCTGGTACAACCTTCGAATTTATTAGTTTTGTTTTATTCTATCTATTCTATTTATTGGATATTGGCCTTATTCGATCCAAATCCGACATGATCTAAGTTGAACAATTCGAATAATTAATTCAAAATAATCCAAATTTAAATAGTTTGTTTAAATTTAATTCGATTAATTTTAACTTGAATCTAAAATAACTTAAATTTCAATGACTAATCCCTAATAATCTAAGCCTGCATGATATAAATTTTAATAATTTAAAAGTCAAACTCAAATTAGTCCAGTTTAAAATGAATCAAAATCCAAATTTGATCATTATTTTCAAGCCTTTTGTCACCTCATGAAAAAAGTTAGATTCCTAAAAAAGTGTTTTATGAAAGATGCTTCATAATATATATAAAAAATTTCTTTGTAATTGAGGACATTACATTAACAAAATCTCTCAAAGGTTACCTTAATAATTAACTCTTAACTCTCAATGTGTTAAATATTATATGAGCATCTAATTTAAAATAAAATGATAATAAATAGAGGGACCCTTGTTATATTTACTAGAGAAAGGCCTGCACAATGCTGCAGGTCCGACCAGCTTAAAATAAAAGAAAGCCCAAAGATGCAAAAACAATCCAAGAAGGTTCAAAATTAGCTTGAAACATCAATCCAAAAAGTCCAAAATTAAGTTGAAACTCCCCATCAATATGAATTCAAATCAAATCAAGCCATATGTGTTAAACAATTAGACTATACAGCTGCCAACCAATTAACGTATTTATAGACAACTTTTAATGTATGTAGATTTAAAATATAATCAATTTAAGAGATGTAAGACTATCACTACTTTGATATTTTCCCTCCGTTTACGAGTAGGTAGCACGGATCTATCACATGCATGAGACAAACAGAAAAGAGAGTAATGGAGGGGCCAATAACAAACAGGGTCATGCCTTTTCTAATATTGTATTGAATTTTTAGAGTAAACATTCAATCTAAAATCAATTAATAATAAGTGATGATATTCTTGTTATATTTATATATCCAACATACTCCTAATTTAATAGACGTGGGATTTCTTTGATCACCACTTCAATATTATCCTTCTTACAAACACCACAAATCTATCATATGATACGAATCAACAAAAAGGCCAATGAATGAACTTTAATTCTATATTAAATATGGCCAATAGGTTTCTATGAAATATAGTTTGAAAAGGAATATTAAATATATGGTTTGATTGAACTTGTACACCAAGAAGATTGTCCCTATAGTTTCACACAAGAAATATATAACTTTTGGTATAAGTGGGAATATATTATACTCTTAAATAGTCATAAGTTGATGGGAAAATCCACTTTATACAGATTAATCAATGCGTCCAGTATAATTGAAACAAGATGTGCTAGATTACTATATATCATGATATGCTGCACACGTTTCAAACTTTACAATCCCCAAATCTGTTTCAATGTTTACAAATACAGGTTTGGGATACCGGTGAATCTTTCAGCTTTGCTGCACTTCATGCAATCATCTGCACTCGAGGTCACATCCAGCGCTTGCAACTTCATTTCTAAACATATTAAAACAATTTAGCAAAACTGATAGAATACTCTTTTCCAGACATAAACTGCCTGTAGACCACCCTAAACAAGGCATGCTCGACTAGTTATCTGACCAACAATTGCCCTGTAATTGCAATGGTAGTAGCTAGTGGCTCCTGGCTGGCTAACAGCTACCTTTCAAGTATTGAATTCCAAGAAACAATTGAAAAGTGTGTCATTTGCGGTCTAAAAATGGCAAATGTTTCAGTTTGAGGACTGCAGTCATGACTCATTTTAATGGTTGTCAGGGGCTTAGTGCATAAGCTCTAGAGATGTATTATGTTTTTTGTGATATAAACAGGAAAATTTCGATTATGACTCAGAAGAAAAGCAACTTAACTTGTTGATGCATCCTTACCATCGAGTAACAATTTTGGCGGATGATAGTCTGATTTGTTCTATTTACCACAATCTCACATGAGACTCTTGCCTGTAGAATGATCACAATAAAGACAATCTAAAATCATGAAACAGAAGACAATTCATTTTGAAAAATAAGGTGCTGTAATGCTAAGACAATGCAGAAGCAACAAAACTTAGAATATAATATTAATGCTTCCATTTCATTGTATTTCTCAGCGCAAAGGTTTGAGAATTGAAGTGAGGTTGCTCAATTGCAAACTTGTCATGAGAAGCAACACAAAAAAATTAACTGATTGAACCCAAAAATGCACATTCAAAATGTAGTCAATATCATCAAAAGGCAGAAGCAGTCTGTATTGAACATCTGAGACAACAGAGCATATCAGCATTTCAACACAAAAACAAGAAATCATGAATCTTCATTATGTTTGTTTCAACTCCCAAACTTAGCACCATTCATCTTGTGGTCGAAATGGAATGTTTACAGTACAGCTCTAGATGTTTATTTAACAAAGGTTATTACAAGAGCTCTTTAACCAATGACTTCCACATCAATAAGTTTCTGCTGAAAAAGGAACTGTAAGACTAAATTCCCTCAATCACTTATATAAAGAAAATAAATAGACTCACTCTGCAAGCAGAGTAAGTTGTAACGTGCTAGCTAGTATATTAATCCCACAGGATAGGGCTAACTAATTAATTTCCTTGAAGAAACAAACATTTTGAGAAATGCAGTCTAATTAGTTACATAGCCTTGATTCGAAAGACTAATCATCAAAGTTCAAGAATGAAGAATTGAAGATGAAAACCACTAATCAACAAATTTTGCTTAGATCATTTTGTTTAGGCAATGTTTAGTTGGCATTAATACGCTTTGATGGTTAGCCTCAATTGAAAATTTTCCCAGAAAACAAATTCAGGATGGCAATCAATGCGACAAAAACAAACCTTAAGCTTAATTTAGCTAAAGATTACAAGCAAAGGAACCAGCACCAACACGTTTTAGTACTTCGAAGAGACGCTATCAACATTAATTAAAAGAACCCACATCAAGCTTCAACCTTAATATAGTCAGTCTTTAAACCAATAATAAACTAAAAATAAGATTATAAAATAGCAGAGCATACCCCCATAAGATAAATCTTAACATATACAAAAGTAGGTCTTGAGAAATCAGAAGGTCGAATTAAGAAAGCAAATATAACAATTAAAAGAAGAAAAGTTTTGGCCTTTTTACCTTCAAAGGGAACTTAAACAAGGACAGACCAAGCCAGCCTGCAACCTCCGTACAGTAATCAAACGGATAGTTCCCCTGGCCAAGTCCTCCAGCATATACACAACGTCAGACAAACACCTCAACCCCATTAAGCTCCAGCTCTGCTTGCACGTAAGACGAACCCCACGCCCTCACGTGACCATGCTCAGACGTCACGTGCCCCAGCATCTTCCCTCTGTACCCAACAGCCACGTCCAACCTACTAAAGTCCACGGAATACACGTCCGAATTCCTCACTTTCAAAGTAACCAACAAAGATATATCTAGTGCTATGATGGGTATGGTATGCACTTGCATGCGGTCTACATGCATCCTTACAATCTTTACTTCAGGGTCAGACGGCCAGAAAATGTACACCGAGGCAGCTAACAACACCAAGGAAGCCGTGCATAGTATCCGAAAACCGCACCAACGGCGTGTCGGGCGGTAGTAGGGCAAAACTAAGCAGTTTTGATCTGGAGGTTGGGATGGCAGAGCAGTGAAGTAGTGGGATGGGGACGATGGTTCTTCCGGTGGTGGTGGTTGTTCAAGTTTTGAGAAAACCATTGGCGTGTGAGAGAAATGTCAGGACTTAGGAATTAGGAGGAGTGTGTGTGTAAAGGAAGAGTATGTATGTTTAGACGAAGGTGGGTTTTTTGTTTGCTTGCGCTTTATTGAGTTTGCTTTTGAGTGTAGCAATCGTGAAAGTTTTGTCTTCCTCCTTTGGGTCAAAAGAAGATATTTGGCTTTCTGGCATGAGATAGGAAATAGTAATTAGAAACCATGTGAATGATTAGTTATGTAGTGCCAACCGATGCACCAAAATGACAGTCAGATGCTCATTGGGCCTTATTTCTGCATTTCTAACGCTTTAAGATGTGACCTAAACCATTGCACAGGACATTCTAGTGAGACAGCTGGGTCCTTATATGTAAGAAGATATGGTTGCACCATGATTTGTTATATACTATTAACCACACTACCAGAAGAATCCCAAGGAGATAAGGTTTTTTTTTTTTTAAAAAAAAAGCAAATATGAAAAATATTTTAGCTGTATGAAAAGGACTTGCTAGTAGATAATTTTTTCACTGTGAGAGTTTAAATTTTAGTTAAGACTTGAAACCAGGATCAAAGCTACTTTTGCCAAAAATCATTGTCGAAACCATTAATGTTTTAACTAGAGGCACACAGGAAGAGAGAAGGAAAGATGCCTCTGATACTAACCC